ACTCACTGCTAATCTCTTTGGATGTTTTGGTGGAATCATTCAATGAGGCAAAGTGAAACGATCATCGTATTAGTTACAGCACACGACTCGATGTACTCCAGGCAGCACTATACCTGGAATGAAGTTTCTCCACAAATTCAGTCGAGTGGATGATTCATTGTGCTTTGACCTTTCGACTCATGTCTCACTCAGTTAGATCACAAGAGTGATAAGTCATCCCACAACCGCTATGTTTACACACTGAATAACTGCTGGACGGTATGCATAAAGAGATTTTTTGAGGCCATGTGCTTTCCTTCAATAGAACTTCTATAATAAAAGATTGGCTGGGCATGGAACAAATAAATGTTTTGGTGTAGAAACTTGACCTAAGGCCATAAGTCATCAATGTCACTTAAAGTTATTACTTCCGTGACAAATCACTGCTTATGTCTTTAACATCCTCCAGGATCATTGTGGAAAACAGGCTTGTTTGTAATGATACCAACAGTAAAATAAGAGTAATGAAATGATCATCTGTGTAGGTCAAGTACAAGAGTAAAACTGACAACCATACCTGATAGATTATCTAATTGAATTTATTATTGATTAATTATTACTAAGAGTATGACTCTAGTGTTATTTTACTAATGAAAGATAAAAAGAAGTACAATTACAGAGATATGGAAGAGATATGAGTTGAGGATATAGGTGATAACAAGACAACAAGTCCATTCTTAGGTGAAGTCACTCCGCTGATAACGAATTGCTCGTAAACCAACCCCAGTGTCTATAATGTATGTGCTGCGGCCGCTCTGAATGCCTCTGGCTATAAGAATACCAAACAGCCACCACACCCTGTGCACCTTGTCCCTCATTTGATTGATTGGTCTCTCCCCATGCACCAGTGATTATTCCATAATGTGAAAGGTGGAGTTGCTCTGAGTGCTAAAGGTGCTGCCAGGTGCTGCCAGGTGCTGTCAGGTGCTGTCAGGTGCTGTAAGAGCTCATGTGTTAGTGGTGCATGTGAGAAGAGCTGCAGGTAACTCATGGTGAGGTAACATATTGTGATGATCATGGCATGAACACAATGTAGAGGTCTCGTTAGAATTTTGGACCAAACTGTATCCATTCGTCTCCTTCACTGTATTTAGGTTTGAATCAAATGTAATGTGTTCACCATGTAAACTACCACAAACAAAAAGGATTGTAAACTCAGAGGTTTGACTGGCACAAAAAGTTTAGACATTATGTAAAGACAAAACCTTAAAGGTACAGTGTGTAGAATTTTGTGATATCTAGTGTTGAAATTGCATGTAGCAGATGAACACCCCTCACCTCACCCTCTCCTTCCAAACATGAAAAAGAACCTGTGGTAGCCTTTAATTGTCATAAAAACTAGTCTAAATTAATTTTAAAAACATGGTGGCCTCCGTAGAAACGGTCTCCTCAAGGTATATATAAAGTATTTGAATATAAAGGGCCTTTTCTGGGGCAAAGAAAACTACAATTCATACAATTTAGATGAAACGAACTAGTGAAAACGTCATGAGAATTATTCTACATTAAATTTCTGCCAATAGTTCCCTCTCACCTAAATCTCACACACTGGACCTTTAACAGTATTGTTTTTGACTGATTTTCTGATTTGTTGGCAAAAGTGGTTGAATTTAACTCATATATAAATTTAATTCAGATTTGGCTTACATCCCACATCTGGTCCACATTCTGTGTGAAATGATGGCACTTGGACGGTCTGCTCTCATTTGCCAGATCTGGGCCATAAGTAAGCCATAGCGATACTGCATGTCAATCAAAGGTGTCAAAGGTGGACCAAATTTGTTCTGTGCTATTTGGGCCATATTCACAATTTTCCCTTTGGGTTCACATACTGATTGCAGCTCGCCAAGAGCACCGCATGTTTGCAAAGAGTGTCCCACATTAGTTTTGGGATATTTGTGCCATATTTGCTATTTTACAAGTGGGCAACTTTAGGCTCACATCCATATTCGTCTGGGCCACAAGAAGGCCAGAAGTGCCGCATCATTGCCTGAGGTGACCCACATCTGTATGCTATCACGATCACTGAATTTATACATTTAGAGTCCTCGCTTGTCTGCTAACGCTGGATTTGAAAAAAGATCATGAACATCGAGTATTTGAAAAAAGGTTCTTCTGATATTTTGTCATTTAATGCTAATGAAATAATGCTTAATAATATCAATATGCAGATGTATTTATATATTTATTGCTGTGGATGTAAAAGTGGTGGTTCATTATTAAAAACTGGTGTTTTTAAATGTTCTAACACTGGATATATGGAAGCATTCAAAAGTAACAGAATGTATAGATCCCAACCCAAATTGATCGATGCATACTTGATCAAAATGGTTAAGATAGAAGCTCAGTATGTCCAAATTGTACAACAACTGTCCAACATTTAATAGATCAGTTCTAGCTTGTTAGCTCTTGAATTTATCCTACATTGACAGCTATTTGATTGGACATACCAGTGGTTTAGTGTCTTCCTGTCAAAAGCTATTTGATGGAAGATGTTTATTCATGCAGCTCCTTGTGCTTTCCTGTGTGTTGTGGGTTAAACAAACTGGAAGTAATAGGTAACCCTTAAAACAGCAATGTACAATCCCCTTGAGGTCGGAGATGTGTTACTCTGCATTCTTTAACTGGCTTATCTTTTACCATCATCACATTTCTAACCTTTACAAAAGGAATTGGCCATCTGTGTTGTTAAATATAGTTGTGTTGTATGTTTATTTTAAATTGATGAAATTGCTCTTTTTTCCATCAATCCACATTCAATAATTCATAATGAGAAAGTGAAAAACTGTTGAAAAATTGTTAAAATTTGAAATCAAAACCTGAAAACCACTTGACCCTTTGCTGTGATCTTTGAGATCAGTTTAGAAATTGATTGAAGCTCAACTAAAGTGATTAAATATAGAATTGTTTTGAATGTCGCAATTGCACTGCATGTGAAGACAAAACCCAACTAGGAGGTTCCAAAACATTTATAAAGCTGTAAGTTTCCCAGGAACACAGTGGCCTCAGTGATGGAATAGGTTTAGAATCACCAGGAATCTCAAGAGTTGTTGGTCTGGTCGAAGTGAGTAACCAATGTGTGTCGGTAACAGAGATGATCCAAGAACCCAGCAGTCACCAGCCATTTTCAGACATTACCTCTGGAGAATGTCCACAGTGTCACGTAAAGACTTTCTCCAGAGGTTGCCTTTCATCATGAACAAGCAGCGGGAGATCCACTGCTCAGAAGTGTTCACAACAACACAGAAATCCCTGGAGCGTTCAGGTGAGGGGTGGTGTGGCAGGCAGAGGCAGAACAGAGCTTCAGAAATTGGAACCATCGGTCAGGCCTTTATGGTAGAGAGGCAAGACAGAAACTATTTCAAATTAAAGGCATATTACAACTCTCTTGGACTTTGCCAAACAAACAACTCTGCCAGATAGTGTATGTGACCTGAAACAAGGGCGATGGTTCACCTTTCAGCAAAGTGATTGGAAGCATACAAACCAAGTCAACCCTTGCGTCAAGACAAGTCTCTGACTTTCCTTTAGCAGCCAAGCAACAGCCCAGACATAAACCCAATGGAACATCTGTGACATGAAGATGTCAATTTACAATCGCTTCCCATCCAATCTTACAGAGTAGGGCAAATCTACCAGGATGAATGGGATACATTTTACAAATCCATGTGCGCAAACCTTGACGAGATTTACCCAAGAAAGCATATACGGCCCAGGTGAATTCTAATGAATTGAAGGTCTGAATACATTTGAATATTAAAGATTATAGCTTTTTATTTTCAGTAGATTAATAATATTAATAATCTGAAATATCTCTCTTTCTATAACTACAAATTAAATTGTTATGTTGTAGCTCTGTATCTGAAATAATCTTGGTCCATGTAAACTCACCTGACAACCCATGTCACATGAGCTTTTACGCTCACTGGGTATGTGCGTGCCGGGGTAACCAGGAAGCAGACTGTCTTCTGTGTAGTCACATTTCTTGTTGCCGCTGTAATATAATTATGGGATTACTACCAACAAAATGAACGCCCCTGTCGTCACACCATATATCGTCAGAGGCAAAGACTGCAAACAATCCTGCGGGCCACTTCTGCTTCTTTTTCTGCTTCTACTGTTTAATGTTGTCTCTGAAAGTCCGGACTATCCAAAAGGTGTTTTTACACACAACAAATCCAACCATGATTAAAATGATCTGGTCAGACCACATTTTGGTCCGTTGGTCTTTCACACCTGTTCAGACCGAAAATTCTGAAGTCCAGGTTAAACCAGGTAGATGTGACAGCCTCCCCTGGAGTTTCCAAACTAAAACAGGGCCAGCAGCTTAGTCAACGTTCTCTGTTTTAGGCGCTTGAAAACTCCATAGTGTGGACACCAGGTGTCCACATGCTGTGATGCATTTTAAAACTGAAACGTAATTTGGATGTAGCTGTTGTTGTACTTTGGGTTTCTCTAGCAGATTTGCACAGAATGCTTATTTAGCGTCTCTTTCTGGTCTCTTGTGCCTCTCTGTCATTTCCTTGTACCTCTTTGCTGCAATTTTATATTTCTTTGGGGTGGCTTTGTGTCTATTTTAAGTCAGTTTGAATAACTGTATGTTTTTTTTGCATATATTATGGTCAATTTACATCTAGTTGATGTGCTTTGTGCCTACATTTAGTCATTTTGAGTCACTTTGTATGTTTTTATATCTCTGTGTGGTTATTTTACATCTCTTTGTTGATGGTTTCTATCTATTTTTAGTCATTCTGAGTCACTTTGTATGTTTTAAGATCTCTTGGTGGTTATTTTACATCTCTTTGTTGATGTTTTCTGTCTATTTTTAGTCATTTTTGAATCACTTTGAATGCATTTTACATCTCTTTGTGGTTTGCATCCCTCTTAGTGGCTACCTAATTCATTTGCCATCTCTTTTTTTTTCATCTGTTCATATTTGGTTAGTGTTTTGTTTTACAGTGACATTTTGCAGGTGAAGCCCAGGGCCTCCCCTGGTCGTTTGGGCCCCTGGACCCGCCCATGCTCGCAGTGTAGCATGTTTACAGGGTGGTGTGAGGATCTGAACACATTCGTCCACCTCAGGAAAAGTTTGACCTGGTGTTTTTCCTGCTCGTCTGTAGTCAGCGCTGCTCTTGGCTGTGCAGTCTGACGCTGTGGTGCAGCTCTCGGTGCAGCACAGGCCGGGCCCAGTGCTGCAGGTTGTCCGGTAGGGTGCCCGCCTGCCTGCAGAGCTGTTGATGTCAGGAGCAGAGGAGGGGAACGTGAGGAATGGCTGAAAACCGACGGTGAGCTCCTGCGAGGAAACAGCAAGTGATCGTCCGGTTACCGAGAGTTTCCCCCGGATCGGCTTCTCAGCGACGCGACACTAGGCGCCGCTCGGTGTTTTCTCCGGGAGAGGGAGGGGGGGGGATTATTTAATGGGACAACGAAAACGCAAAAAAACGCAAGGTAGGCTCCCGCTCCTGTCGCCAGCTCCGCCGCTGAACGTTCACTCACAGGGGGTCGAGCAGACATGTTCAGCCCCTCGTCTTCGAAGACAGCTTCTGGGTTTTAACGCTAACTTTACGGTAACGTGGGTGTTTTTCGCTGGGGGCTCGTTAACGTATGTTTTGAGAGAGAAAGCGTCACCTCTTCATGCCTCAACCGAGAGAACCGCATGAGAAGAAGCCCGGAGTAGACTAACACGCCGCGGACAAAGCCTCCCCTCCCGCCCGCCTTTTCCTCCCGTCGCCTCCACCTGAACCGACGGGCAGAAACAATGCGTGTGGATCTGCTGTGGATGTGTTTGTGGGCTCTGCTTCGTCCTGCCGCCGCCGGTCAAGGGCAGTCGGCGGCCGTGTGTTCGCCCTCATGCGGCTGCGATGAAGATGGAGGTGCGGACTGCTCCGGCAGAGGACTGACCAGCGTCCCGGCCGGACTCAGTGCTTTCACCTACTATCTGTAAGTGCCACCACCAACATCCACAAACTCTAAACATGGCTGTGCACTCAACACATGTCCCACAGCTAGGCCCGCATGTGATGGGATGTTGTTGTGCCAGTGATGGACACTCAACATCACTAAACTTTCCATTAAAGGAGAAAATAGCTCGAGGAAGATGCAGCCAGACACAGTTAGTTAGTGAGGACTCCTGGTTTCGTGTGTCACAACTCTGTGTCACCTTTAAAACTTTAAAACTACTTTCCAGGCACATCTGAGAAGTTCAAGTCCCACCAGAAATACTGTTAAATCAGCTTTTAGTTTCTACTTGTTTCTGCTCTTGGACAAGTGTAGGGCTGCAGTGTTTTCATAATAACAAGATTGAAGATGATGTTTGATTATTCAGCACATTTTCAAGAACTAAAGTCACAAAGTGCTTCACAAACTAAAACAGTAAGCAAAGAGCAAGTGGAGACTACACAAACATGTAAAGCAGAGAACTTAAGACGATCAGTTTTAGAAAACTGTCAAAATACCCATTTCAATATTCCTGAAAAAGTGACATCTTTAAATATCCTCTTTTGTCCAATCGTCAGTCGAAAACTCAAAGATCTTCCAATTTGACACAGAGAAGCATCCAAGTCCTACATTTAAAAAAGCACCATCTCATAACAGTTTGGCATATTCTCTTAATTGATTAACAAAATCATCATTCAATTATCAAATTCGTTGACAACTCATTTTCTGCCAAATCAACTTATCTATTAATCGTGTTGTCATTGTAGAATAGAAACAAATCAGCAACTACATTGTTTATATCATTTCTGGCCACAAAATGATCTCTGGTTCCAAATCCTCAAATCTGCAGATTTTATTATTTTATTTGTCATGTACTTGATATTTTTGTTCTATAGTTTTGGTTGATGAGGCAATTTCAATAGATTTTGCTTGTTTTCCCCGACTACCGGTCTACATTTAAAAGAATATTTACAGTTTTATAAAACTTACGTGAGCAGAAAAACCTTAAGCTTTAGAGTCTGGAACCAGTGAATGTTGACCAAAGACTAAACAATGAATCAGATATTAGAATTACTGCAGATTCACTTTATCTCAAATTATAGGCAAGTTAGCCCATGCACATACTGACAAAGTTTTCTCCACTTTATGATCAGCATGATTTGTATTTTGGGACTTTAGCATATCTCAGCTTCCCTCAAACATTTTTTACAAGTTGTCCAGCAGAAAGTTGTTTTAAAAGAAATATATTCAGGTCTCAGTAATTCTGGCCAGGAATGATACAACGCTTTGGGCCAAACCAGCTAATATTGGTCTTACAACCAGGATATATTGGATTTAGACATCAGTTTGGCCCCTGACAAACATTTTATTTTTCAGGCAAACAGAAAACATTGTATTTTCTGAGACCACAAAAACAACCTTTTTATAAAGACATCCTGCTGCTGCACAACAATTTCCCCCCAAGGTTTGGATAGGAAACACTGTATGACTTGATTGTAGAGTAATGTTTGGAGTGCTGTGCTCACAAATGGCGCTAGATGTGGGTGAGTTATGCTGCATGGATTGTAGCCAACAGAGTTTTGCTCTCATTGCTGTACATACATTAAATAATTAGGAGTCAAACTTGTGCAAGATCTAAACTACAAGATAAAGTAAGGGTACTTATATAAGTGCATTTTTGCTTTAAAGTAGAAGAAATGTGCACCAGGTAGGTTAGGTCTGTAGATTGGTGTAGATACAGTTGATGATTGCCCCATCTGGAAACTCCTTAGTTTGTTTCACAGCCACTGGGTTAATCATAAACTTAAGTAACCACCTCTGCAGCAGCATTGAAAACAACAATTGATTGCATCTTTTTGTAATTTTTCAGCTTCCTTGAATAATAAATAGAAGTAGTTTTTCAGTTTCCACAGGCACATGTTAATTTAGAGTTTGTTACGTGTTTGAGAAAAATAACTTGTTTCACTTTCAACTTGCCTTTAAGTGTAAAGGTTTGCTCTTGTTTGTGGAAACCTCTGTGCTGTTCTGCCACCTTTCTAAGACTGGTGGTTCAAGCCTCGCTTCACCAGAACCAACATTGTGCCACTTGAAATCACAATTGTGAAGAGGGTGTTAGGTAAAGTAAACAGAGGGAGTGGATTCATATGCCAGGCTGTCAAGACATGTCACACGGAGCCTGCTGCCTACAGCTGAAACTGTTAAAGCATACTTTTTTCCTCTGGGAAAAACAATGCTCCAATGTATTATGGGCAGTCTGACATCTTCAACATGAAACAATGTTTTCACAAAATGATATCATACCCCTTACCGCCACTCTGCTGGTCTGTTTTATGCCAAAGTGGAAAACAATACTTTGTTTTCAAGATCGTGTTGTCTTCACCGTCTGCTCTGCACATGGTTGTCTAAATTCTCTGTGACAAGTTTTAAACAGTGAAGTGCCTCCTACATTCACCTCAAACTCCTCTAAAAGTATGTGAAAGGTTGTTTGTCCCTCTCTCTGTCCTACTCTCATTTGTTCTCCTGGTCTCTTGAACTCTAGTTGTCCTCTCCCACTCCCTCCGTCTTTTGTATGTGAAGCACTGGGGTTAGGGATCATGATGGATTAGTGAGACATATTGCAGCTGCAAGGGCTCCTTCTTTCGTGGCTAATGCAGCTACAATGGTCTGCTAAAGTGTAAAGGAAAAGTCTTATACACAAGTGTTTTGTCATTGCCGTATCTTAACAGAACCTGCACAAATGTTTTTGCAGACATCATGCATGTTGAATCATTGTAGTGGCACAGAGACACTAAGTATAAAATCTAGTCTTGTCAGTGTGAAAAGTGTTTTGTAAGCATAACCATGCCAAAATATCAGGGAAATTACAAGGATCAATATTTGATTTTATTGTTCCATTGATTTGTACCTTTTATTTTCGAAAAAACATACGTTCTATAATAAATCATATGACAGTGTTGGACTGGACTCACCTACAGCCCACAGGGGCTCAAGTTTTGGCATTTGTAATGGAAACAGCCCTGTCACAGAAAAGCAGATGAGAGAAAAGAGGAGGCCCCTGAGCCTGTTACAAAGCAAACACTCCTTTTGAAGGTATGTAGTTTACCTGCCACCGAGTCTCTGCACAGGTTTAATTCTTGGCACAGCGTCTGCATGAACTCTTGCACATCTGAAGGGAGCAAGAGCGAGTTAGCGGCTTACATCTCACTGGAGTTAGGCCCTTTCATAGCATGAACAAGGTTAAGACTTACAGAAAATGGAGGGGTGGAGTCAGGGGTCTTGCACTCTGCTTGTGAAGCTTGGCTGCTTCACCACTGGTGCCCTCAATCCATTTTTAACTGAATGATACTTTTGTTCTTGGTCAGCAGAGGTGAAAGGAGCCAGTCAGTGGTTCCCGCTCCCAAACTGGATGACTTGTGGATGGGAGAATATTAATGTTGCTCCCCTTCTCTGAGTCCCCCACCCTGTCCTCCACTTTGACACCTATTCCCCTCCCCCTTCACATAGTTCTTACTACCATGTTGTTGTTTATTCTGAATTTTGTGCCAAGTATTCCTAAACCAAATATTACCACAATCTGAGTTTGGTAGACATTCAAGTTTTGAAATAGTGGTTCACACCTGACACTAACTGGCGCTAAGTGTGACCCAAGTGTCTTTGCTAGTTTAAGACCCAGGTAGGTCATTTTATTGTCTACAGCCCATTTTGTTTAGATTGAAAATATGCTTGTGCCCACTTGAGTGCTTGAGGGCATGTTGGTTTTGCGATGAGATGTGGTCAGTTGCATTGTTATCTTGAGACAGCAGAGAGTGATTGGGCTTTTGACCATCAAAAACATGGTGTGAAGTCAATGGGACGGTATTTCACTGTTATTTTAAGGACCAGTTATCAAGACAGTTGGCTAATATGGGCTTACAAAGGCGGGTTGGACCACAAGCTCTGTGCTACACAAACAGATGGTGTGCTCACATGCATTCACTTTGCACACAAGCAGATCTGTTTCTTCTGCAGAGAAGAATTCTCATGTACTTTCTGTACTTCCACAATATGGCAAGGTGCAAGCCCACCTGCCTTTTCAGAAATGGGTTATGGCATGCTAACTGGTTATTGCTTGTTTCGCTCAGACCACACTCTTGATTACAACCATTTTGTACGCTTAGCTAACAAAACCTGATTTGGACACGCTGTAAAAGCAGCTGCTACATGCACATTAGACCTCGTGTTAGATTGTTAAAACAGCCTCAGGTCGTAGGACAGAAGTGATGATGTGAGAGTTTCACATGATGGGAAGATGTTCAGAGGTTAGTTTGACACATGACAAATATTCATTATGTGCAATGTTTGTCATATGGAGAGCACATCAAGTACTTGTGACCTTAAATCTCTGTAGTTGTTTTATAGTTGATATTTTTTTAGAGAGTTTGAAGAAAGTAAAGTGGCTCAAGCCAGGAGCAGAATTCAAATTCTGTATGATCTTTCATTCATAAAACAACTGTGCTGAAAGTCCTGTTTATTTGTGTTTGAAATGTGGTGTAATATAGATGGACAAAAACAAGTAATCTTTTAAATATCCTCTATTTAAAATAATTTGCTGATTTACTATGTATAATATGAACTGTCAATGCATTACATACAATATTTGACAATGCTGATTCGTCATCCATTTTTCCTGTTATTCTAATTCTGTATTTGACTCTCCAGTGTTGTTGTAATCGAAACAAATACTTCTAATCAAGGCTCTTTCTTCATCTTATATTTACCACTAAATGATGAAATCTAGCGAGGAATCAGTGTCTAGAAAGTTTCTTAGATGCATTTTAGATACACATAATTAGAGGTATAATTCTTTTCTTGAAATATGGTGCCTTAATTATGTTTAATTGTCACCAGTTGACATAAACATAAAGCAGATCAGTTGGGTATACTCAGCATTGTAAATTCCATTGTCAGCGTGTTGAATCCATTCACTTGCAGTGTTGTTGTACACTCAGGGGAAACTGAGAGACCTCATAGTTCAGCACAGTGTGTCCCCCTGTGTCCATGAAGTTATGTTTTATGTTCTTTCTGCGTAACACCAGATTGGCAATCTTTCACTAACCTTAACCAAGTAATGTGATTATGTAAATGACCATGAAAAAGTTCAGCTGTTGATTATTTTAGCCGAAAACAAATGAAATACTCTACCAGGAACATTTTGATATATTCAAGAGTACTATCGAGGCAAAAAAATGGTATCAAGGAAATTCCTTGTTGGCTAAGTTTGCGATCAGAAATGTTGGTTAGAAAATGTTCAAGTGTGCCTCATTTTGAGTGTACACTGGAAGACCACATGAAGGTGCACGCCAACTTGAGTCTTGAGTACATGTACTAAGGTGGCAGATGTTATTGTCTGCCTGCTGAGACCTCCGTGCCTTGTCGCAGGAACGTGTGCCGCGAACATGCAAACTAGCAATGTTATGCCGAGTCCTGCCTGCATGCTGTGGATGGTGAAAACTAAACGGATATTTTGAAAGTTCACTTGGTTTCTTTGGATTCTCCTGGTGTTGCTGATGAACAAACACAAATAAAAATGATTTATAAATCAGATATTGGATAGACGGACAGATTAATAAAAAATAAAGTCACCGTACTTTATTTTGTTGCTTATGCTTTAGGTTATAAACCTGGTACTTGGAGGTCCACTCAGTGCCCTCTTGGTGGTTACTTTGCGTTACTTTTGTCTAACCAGTGCAACATATTTTTGTCTGCTTCCGAACACATTTTCTCTTGTCCAGGGGATGTTGAGATGCAGTTAGTCTTCAGCCATGGTGAAAGACATTTACTGATACCTGGTTGTGGAAGCGTTTAGCCTTGTCCCCATTTATCACATCTGCATTTTTAATGTCCTCTTCAATCCATCTTAGCTGGGACAGGCCCAGACCTTGATGAGTAAAGCAGCCAGACACAGAGGGATGGAGGAAGTGTGATAGAGGCCTCCCATAGTCCCCAGCCCTGCATGTGGTTCAGACCAGTCAACAGTCTGAGGAAGATTGAGTCAAACTGTTTAAAATGTGGTTAGGGATGCATCCATCTGACAGCCCATGGTGGCAGATCTGCAGTGGTGGTTGCAGAACACCACTGTGTTGTCAGGGTGGGATAAAAAACCATGAAGAGTAGGTGGACGTTGATGGAAGTGTTGTTGTAGCTGCACACTCTATAAGGTAATTGGATAAGCAGGTAAGCGGAGATGGGACATAGGTTGCCTGTATGATGAGGGTTCTGTCAGGACCCGCCTTTTAAGGCTTCTTTACGTGTGTGTGTGTGTGTGTGTG